CAGAACCTCACCTTTCGAGAAATAGCTTCTGAACTTAGCAAGACTGGCCTCCAGTTTATGAAGGAGGATACCACACAGAGGAATGGAGGCTCAGAAGCTTCCCTGGGGGGAAAGAAGATGCTCGGACTAGCAGAGTGTGTCGCCAGGTCGTGGGCCACTGGGACTCCCACATGTGGGAGGGACCGGTTGTCAAGAGAGATTGGGAAATCATCTCCAATTTAAGGGGATGAGTAAATGGCGTGGGGAGGGGGTCAGGTTCCCTAATAATATCCAACGGGGGTATTAAATCCCTCCGCGGTGAAACGATCTTTTGGGGACTTTGCTCATGAGGGCTCTGCCTGGATGGGGCTGTGGGTTGTGAAAGAGGTCCATGGCTACGAGAGAGCAGGGTGCAGGAGTGTTGGTCAGTCTGTAAAGGGGCCTGGCTGGGGAGCTCTGGCTGCGAGAGCGGGGGCGGGGGCTGGCTGTGCGGGCCTGGTCCCTCTCACCTTTTCGGGCCTTGTCTCCCGGGATGTTCTGGGCTCGCAGCCGCTGATCCAGGATGTAAAGCATCTCCCCACCCAGGTTCAAGAAGAGCAGCGGTAGCGTCCGCACCGACATGGTGTCGGAAGCGAACGCAGCTGGTACAGAGCCCGGAGGTTTGGTAGCCAGAGGCCTGGAGGCCCGTCAGACGCATCCTCGAAGCCCGGTTGCTAGGCAACACGGCGGACGGCAAAGAAGAGCCAATCAACAGGCCGCTTGTTGGGATGAGCCCGGGGGCGGACGCGTATTGGGCGGGGCGGCGAAGACCTACAGGGTAGATTGGTCCGAGCCGGAGGTGGGTGCGGCTTGGGCCTTAGGCCTGCAGCGCCTGTTTTGAGTTTCTTGAGCCCCGACGGATGGGTGAGAATCCGGCAGGGCTGGCGGCCCGGCTTCTTTCACGCGGTCACCCTCACCCCGCCGGCCCGCGTGCTCACGTGCCCACGTGCCCACGTGCCCCTGAACCAGGGAAACGCAAACAAAACTTTAGAGCAGACTCCGGGCAGACAGACCTGGGTTTGAATCCCAGCTCTGCAGTTTCCTCGCTGTTTGACTTGGGGCAGGTGTTTCGAGCCTGGGCTTCCTCATAGGAAAATGGAGGGGACACCCACCTCCCAGGGTTGCAGAGAGGAGTTACTGCGATCACAAAATGCCACGAAAGCACTCAATAAAATGGTAACTGACTTTTAGGTGGGGGAAGGACCTATTTGCATTTCCTCCCTAAAAGCTACTTGGAGTGTAGCCCCTCCTGTTTCACACACCGGGAAGCAAACCAGGCCTGTTCACGTCTGTCCCGCTGTCGGAAGACGCGTGCTGGGGGCTCTCCGAAGCTACCCCCCACGCTGTAGAGCAGGCCTGGCATCCAATTCTCTGCTTTGAGGGCAGTGACCACATACTTCACCCCCATCTTGAGCTCCAGGATCACATTTTCATCACCTGTTGCACATTTTTACTTTGATGAGCAACCATTTCTGTAAATTTCAATACTTCTATGACCTACTCATCATCTTCCCCTCCAGCCAATCAGACTTGAAACCTTAGCCTTGGTTTCCAACTCCCTCCCCCTGGTCCTCTTATGTCACCAATTCTGCTTTTTCCACCAAAATCTTTCTCAAATTTACCTCTTCATTTCTTTCTATCTGCATTACTGTTTCTCCATATTAATTGCTCTCTTTTCTTCTCCCCGGGCCTGGCTGCTAGGCTAAATTTCAGAAGACACCACTTTTAGTATGACATCCCTTCAGTGGCTCTCTACTGGGCAGAGTGGACAGCCTTGAACGCCATACAAAGGCATTTCACCTGTGATCTGCCAAACAGTAGAGAGCCACTGAAGGGATGTCATACTAAAAGTGGTGTCTTCTGAAATTTAGCCTAGCAGCCAGGCCCGGGGAGAAGAAAAGAGAGCAATTAATATGGAGAAACCAGGGAAGCCCAAAGCCGAGTTTTAAAGAGTAGTCTAGGGACTTCCCTGGTGGCGCAGTGGTTAAGAATCCACCTGTCAATGCAGGAGACAAGGGTTCGAGCCCTGGTCTGGGAAGATCCCACATGCCACGGAGCAACTAAGCCCGTGCGCCACAACTACTGAGCCTGTGCTCTAGAGCCCACGCGCTGCAACTACTGAGCCTGCATGCCGCAACTACTGAAGCCCGTGTGCCTAGAGCCCGTGCTCCGCAACGAGAAACCACTGCAATGAGAAGCCCATGCACCGCAACGCAGACTAGGCCCCACTCCCCACAACTGGAGAAAGCCTGCACGCACGCAGCAATGAAGACCCAATGCAGCCAAAAAATAAAATTTAAAAAAAAATAAAAAGAGTAGTCTACACTCACAACCTGAATTTCCATAACATCCTCATTCCCCACCTCACTACCACTGGATTCAGCTCCCTCCACTCTACTGAAACTGCTTCACCATGAAGACTTTTTGGTCCTTAACTGACATCTCAGCATTGGATACTATACAGTAATTGAAAGCCGGCAGCCCAAGGCTTTGATTTGATCTTGCCTGGTCTGTGCACAAAATATAACTAGGATGGGAATGTAACAAACAGCTTAGCATCATCATCTTACACCTGGCCTTCATGCATTATGCTGTCTGCCTGGTTGCTAAAGGCTTTTGAGTTTGCTACAGTGTAATTACCAGAGCTTCTCAGACCACTTTTTGCCCTAGGCTGTGTGATAATGAACAGAACATGGGCTTTGGAGTCAAGACAGATGTGGGTTTGAATCCTTGCCTGCCCCTAACCAGCTGTGTGAATTTGGACAAATTACCTAACCTCTCTGAGCCTTAATTCTCTCACGGTAAAATGAGGATAATTATGCCAATATGGTGATGGGGGGCAAATAGGCAAAGGCGGCTTTAAAGATGAAATGAGTTAATGTGCCTAACACAGCACTTAAAACAATGCCTTTCCTGAAGGGCCTGTTCCACGAATGTGCGAATGTGTTCCTTTTCTTGCCTTCTTTCCACCAGCCCCCTTACATGTCAGCACCTGGCCCTCCACACAATACCTCTTAAGTAGCTGTGAGTCCTGCCCCATAAAAGGCCTTCCCTCTTGTTCTTGAGGTGGTATTTGAGCAGCTCATCTTCAGTTCTGACCCTCTCATCTCATTTCTGATTCTGCAGGATCCCAGGTCCTCTGTTCCACCCTCATTTCACCTTCCCTTTAACCTCGGCTACTCCTCCTGACTCAGGCTATGCCCTCAGAGATCATTCTTCCCATCCAGACATGGTCCTTTCTTCTTTGTTTACATTCCCTCCCTGGGCAATTTCACTCACACCCATGGCTTGGGTCACACGTAACTCCCAAACCTGTCTCCAGCTGCTCTTTGGACATCACTTTAACACACCTTCCTTCCTTTCCGGCTTTCCTCAATGGCAGGGGTACTGGTGTTCAGATTGAGAATCAGATAAAAGCTACAAGTCCTGTCCCTAAAATCGCACACGTACAAAAAAAACATTGCTTATGAATTCTGGCTTCCTTTCTTACTCAGAATGAAGTCTAAGGTCTTCCCCACAGTGATATGGACTGAATATTTGTCCTTCCCAAATTCAAATGTTGAAGCCCTAACCCTCAATGTGATGGTATTTGGGGGTCTTTAGGAGATCATGAGAATTAGGTCGCGAGGTTAGAGCCCTCATCATGGGATTAATGCCCTTATAAGAGGAAGAGATTCACTCTCTCTCCCCGTCTCTCCCTCCTTCCACATGTGAGGACATAGTCAGGAGGCAGCCATCTGCAAGCCAGGAAGAGATTCCTCATCAGAAACCAAACAGACCAGCACCTTGATCTTGGAATTCCTAGCCTCCAGAACTGTGGGAAAATAAATTTGTTGTACAAGCCACTCGGTTTATGGTATTTTATTTGACTGCACTGTATCTTAGTTGTGGCACACTGGATCTTTTAGTTGTGGCATGCGGGCTCTTAGTTGTAGCATGCAGGATCTAGTTCCCTGACCAGGGATTGAACCCAGGTCCCCTGCATGGGGAGTGCAGAGTCTTAACCACTGGACCACCAGGGAAGTCCCAGTTTATGGTATTTAAAAACGGCAGCCTGAACAGACTAATACACCCCACAAGCTTCATATTACCTGGTTTCTGCTTGCTTCTCGGACCTCCTACTCTTCTCTTTGCTCACTCAGTTTTGGACACACTGTCTTCTTTGGGTTCTTCAAACATGCTAAGCATACTCAGGCTTCAAGGCCTTGGCACTTAACTTGGTGTAAGTGGGTGGGCTTTGTGGGGAAGGGCTTATCCATGACACCCCAGAATTTATAAGCAATGTTATGTACATGTGCAGTTTTAGGGACAGGACCTGTAGCTTTTACCATTCTCAATCTGAACACCAAAACCACTGCCCCCCAATCAATCAATCGCTCTGATCTCTCTCCCTCCCATCCACCTCCACACTGATGCTGCTTAACTATCAAACAGCCTTGTTACCATCATCACGCCTTTGGTTTTCAAACCATAACTGTCTCCCCTCTCCGTAGGGGACCGTGTACAGTCTCCTCAGCCAGCATAGGAAACCTCTCATATCCCAGCTTCAGCTTACCCGTCAAGCTGTATGTCCAGTTCTGCTGCTCTCTGAATGCAGCATGCACCTGTACACTTCTTTGCCTCTGCACCTGCAATTCCTTCTGCCCGGGATGCCCTCGCTCCCATTTCTGCCCAGTGAACTTCCACTCATCCTATACGGCCCCATCTAGAAGGGAGTTCGTATGCTGGCCTCCTCACGCTTCCTCTGTGCTGCTGTGTGCTCAGTCTTGCCTCCACTGAATGGCCCCTGGAGGACAGGGGGTTGTTTCTGTGAGTGTGTGTGAGGTGCGTTATGAGAATGCATCCCGTGGCATGTGAGGGCAGGGACTCTGCCTCAGATATCCCCGGGACCCCAGAGTTCCATGATGGAATGAATTCTTCCTCGTCCTCAGGCCACTAAGAGCCCCACCTTGTCTACTGTTATTCTTTAAAGCAGCAAGACATAATTTTAACATTTATTGGTTTCCTTTGATTGCCTCTGGTCCAGTTTTGGAAGGCCTCTCTGGGTTCTTCTGGCGCTGTTTCTGGCTGCTGCAGCTGCAGCTTTTAAGGCCCTTTTTTGCTTCTTCAGCTTTTGAGCCTCTTGGAAAACCTGGGGATGAGAGAGGGCAGGAAAAAACTTTGTAATGCTATGCAAAACCTCAGACTTCGAGCATCTGGGGTGGGAAGTGACTCCCCCAGAGGGTCACCCTAGCCTTTCTCTATGGGCTTCGTGCCCTGGGAGCCACCTCAAAGCCTCGGGGCCAGCTCCACGCCTTGCTCAGAAACAGACGACCCCTCCCTTATGCTCTCCCCACCACGGTCCTGGAGTGGGGCAACCAAAGCAGCAGTCCCGACTCATACCCGAATGCACAGGGCCTTCTTGGTCACCCAGCGGCGGTGGGCTTTTCGGTAGTACAGAGGGGGAAAGGTGTACTCAATCCCCAGCTCCCTGCATGTCTTCTCAAAGACAGCATAGTTGGTCTTGCGGAGGTTTTTGAGCATCTTTTTCCTCTGGTCAATGCTCATCAGTAGATAGCGCTTGTGGGCTTTGTCCTGTACGAGAGTTGGTATTACTTTGAGTATTATGTAAATAAGTGGTGTGCCACTTCACAGTAGCAAAGGATGGTCATTTTACCCTGGCAATGAAACTTCCCCACAATCTTAGGCAAATATTAGTGCAACTCTGAGGTAGGCAGTGTTACTGTTATTCCCATTTTACAGATGGGAACATAAAGGCTCATAGATGTTAACTGATTCATTAAAGATTCTAGAACTGCTGGGTCGGGACCTTGTGTTAGACCTTGAATCCAGGTCTAGTGGTCTGACTCCACATCTCATGCTCTTTCCCCTGTATCACCCACTCAGCCTCTGCACAGCTCAGCAAACTATCAGCTGGGGTGGAGAGGAGGGAAGGCTTAGGAAAACCCCTGCCCTCAGCCAGGCACTGCTCCCTCAGTGGGGCTGGCATTCCATACTCCAACTCTGATCTCCAAGGAACAGCTCAACTAGCTTCAGGGAACACTGAGGTGCTAGGTGTGGAGCTGGGCCAGTCTGTGTTCACAACTGTGTGTTTATTAAAAATACCAGCAATAGCCTAATTATAGCAGCTCTGTGTCTGACACTGTGCTGAGATCCAGCAGAATGGTTAGGAGTGTGGGCCCTGGAGCAAGATCACCAAGTTTCAAGTCCTAGCACATCATTTCCTAGTGGTGTGCCTGTGCCTGGAGGGATAACTTCATTACGCCAGCCTAGCTCATTCTTCTGTGCAATGGGATACAAAGACAAGTATAAGGGTTAAATGAACTGATGCATGTAAAGTATTTAGCATGAGGCCTAAATACTTTATATGCGTCATGTTGGCTGCCATTACTTCATACAGTCCTTGCAATCCTGTCGGTGGGTACTATTATGATCCCCGTTTGACAGGAGAATTGAGGCTTGGACATGTAACTTTCCCAGGGCCACACAGCCAGTTAAGTGGCAGTGGCAGAGCTGGGATTTGAACTTGGGGCAATCTGACTCCATGCACGCATTCAACAACTAGTTATTGAGCGCCCACTATGTGCCACACGCTGTGCCCTTGCTTTGAAGTTTGTGTTCTTGACCATTAGTGACACTCAGCACTGTCCTGTAAGGCTCCCATTTCACCCCTGGAGGTGGAAGGGAAGGGTGTTTCCCACCGCAGCTGAGGGGTGGGTGCTCTGCTGCTCTAGCCACCTGGCTTCTCAAGCTGTTTCTCTGGACCCAGAGCCCATCAGCTCAGGCTCCTCTCCCCCAGCTAGCCGTGAGTGAGGCCCAAGGGTTACCTTCCGATGTTTCTGCATGTGTGCTTCATAACTGTGGATCTTCACAGTCAAGGCAACAACTGAAACCACAAACCACAGAGGATGAGAGCCGGGCACAGAGGAAGGAAGAGCCAGACCCTGGTTATGTTTTAAGACCTCAAGGAAGGGCTTCCCTGGTGGCACAGTGGTTGAGAACCTGCCTGCCAATGCAGGGGACACGGGTTCGAGCCCTGGTCCGGGAAGATCCCACATGCTGCGGACCAACTAAGCCCGAGCGCCACAACTACTGAGCCTGTGTGCCACAACTACTGAAGCCCCCGTGCCTAGAGCCCATGCTCTGCAAAAGAGGGAAGCCACCACAATGAGAAGCCCGTGCACCGCAACGAAGAGTGGCCCCCGCTCACCACAACCAGAGAAAAGCCCACGTGCAGCAACGAAGACCCAACGCAGCCAAGAATAAATGAAATAAAATAAATTAAAAAAAAGAAGACCTCAAGGAATAACAATCACCAAAGCTCTTGTACACCTCTCTATCACTCCCAGAGCACTCTGAACTTCAAGATCTCAAAAGCCTTTGGATTATCTTTCCTTTAGAAAGCAAAGTATAAGGAAGGGAAGTTCCTTAATCTTATGAAGGTATCATCCCCAAACCCCAAATCCCAAATTAGCATTCTTAATGGTAAAACTTTAGAACATTCCTGTTAAATTCAGGAATTAGTCTGGGATGGCTGCTGTCACGGTTTATGATTCAATACTGCCCTGGAGGTCCTCACCAATGTAATAATTTAAGATCCCAAGACTGTCAAGGGTCTCCTCCTTGCCTCTTCCCTTCCAGCTGCCATCCTTATCTCTGTGTTTTCATGAATGAGTTTTCAGAATTATCAGCTCCCACTCATCTCCTAAAGCCCCAGAATATTCTTCCCTCAGCTATCCTCTTATTTAGCTCAAACCTATATTGCAAAGGCAAAAGCAGAAGGTGGCCCCAAGGAGAGGCTGTCACTACAGCAGGCCCTTGCCGTACACACACTGAGCTCTGGGAACACTGCAGAGAGTGCAGTGGGAACGCTGGCCCTGACCCCATGCCCTTTCACACCACCTCAGCTGCAGAGTGGAGACAGAGACAAGCTCTGGTTCCTGAGGAGCTTGGCCTGAGCTCATACAGAGGTAGGTACGAGGCAGGACCTGGGCGCTGACTACAGCATCATGGATAGAGTCCAGTTTTCACTGTCCTTGGTCCTTCCCGTCTCTCCCTTTACCAAGCCACATCTAATACCAGCGTATCTGCAGGTGAGGGGCCTGGATTAAGTACCAGCTAGCAGACTCCTCTGCACCCCGACCCCCCCAGGGCCCCCCGACCAACTTCGAGCCTCCAGGGAGCCGGTGTCCTTAGGGTTTTCCACGACCTTGTTCATCAGCTGCTCTTTCTTGACTTTTAGCTTCTCTTTCTGTTGAAGACAGAGACCGAGAATCTGTGAGGTCTGCCACCCTGTAAGAACTTGCCCTCATACCTCCAGGGCCAGGGCCACAGTCATAGCAACTAGGCCATAAGGCTCAGGGCGTGACTTTACTCTGCTCATCAGGGTGTGGCCTCTGGCCAACCACATGGTTGTTCACATCTAGGTGAGCCCAAGGCCAATGCCACTGACAGAAGAATGTTGGATGAATGTCCCCAAACCGTGCTCACTCATTCAGGCATTAGATCTTTATCGAGTACCTACTGTTTGTCAGGTGCTAAGGGTACAATGGGAAACAAGACAGTCCTGGCCTTGGAGGTGCTCAGTCTGGGGGTATTGACAAGTGGATATAGAATGAGAGTGGGATAAGTGCTGTGACTTGAGAAGCATGGGCTGGGAGGTGTTACCAGGGTAGGAGGGGATCTCAGAGGAGAGGACTGAGAGAGGCCAAGCCTTGGCAAAGGCCACTCACCTGGTTGGCCATTTCCAAAGATAAGAGTTTTTTCACGACATCATCAACCCTGTGGAAAAACCACAGCAATGAGAGACAGGTGTCGGCAGGGGTGGTGGGTGGGAAGAAGGAAGGGGAGCAATGCTGTTTTCATTTTAGTTTGAAAACCAAGGATGAGTGAAAATTTCTTTTACAACATGAGTCTCTCTGCAAGCGGGGTGCCATTTCTCAGGGATTCAAAGTCAGCACGGATCTGATTTGCTGGGCTGTGAACACGGAATGATGTGATAACTACAGAAAACTGGGGCTGTCAGCTCAAGTGTTTCAGGCTTGTCACAGGGAGAGCAAAAAGAGGGTTTCCATTTTAGCTGGAATATGGTTCAGTCTCTCTTGAGACGCTTCAATTCTACAATCATTGTTTTTTTCTCATGTCACACTGCACAGTGGGAGGGACTGGAGGGACTGCCCAGCTCCCACTGCACAGGACAGGGGCTGAGCAGAGGATCCTGGTTTTGGTATCTTTCAGCCCTGGATTCAAACTCCAGCTCTGCCCCTTAGGAGCTGTATGACACTGGGCAGTCTGACAATCTACAAAATGGGGACACTATTTCTTCCCTCACAGGATCAAGAGATGAAAGATTTCTACAAACACCCGTGAGGCACGGTGCCTCCTTGGTTATCTCATGGTAGAGGGTCTTTACCCAGAGCACAAAAACGGCAAGCAGGTGTGCTCCGTGTGCCCCTGCTGCCCACTCATCCTCACCATTCCTGGGCTTCTATAGTTCTCTGCCCTGTTCCATAGTCAAGCTGCAGATACATCAAGCATCTACCGCGAAGCCCCCTCCTTGCCAATCCTCCCAGGGCCCCCTGCCTCATCAAAGAGATTTCTTCCTGCTTACTTCTCAATTCCGGGGATGTCCTGGTAGTCCTTGAGCAGCATAGAAGGGGGTGGGTCATCTTCATGGCTGGGCTGGACTGTCAAGTGGAGGGATGGAAAACACCCAGAGTCAACTCTCACTGCCCATCCTCCCAGACTTGGCTCTTCTCACCAACTTTGTCAGAGACATCCACGGTCTCAAGCAAGGCACTGGGTAACCCCGGGCTCAGTTTCTCCTCTGCAAATCCTGTGGGCCTCTGCCTTGATATTTCATGCTGGGAGTAGGTAGCCTTTCCCAAGACCCTGTACTGTGCCTGCACTTCTCACACACCTGTCTGGCTCTACAGTTATCAGACGTCCCGCTAGGATGGGTGCTCCTGTGGACGGACTGAGGTCGACTCCCTTTGAATCCCCCACGTCTGGTCTGCGGCCCAGCACAGCATAGACGCCCAACTAATGCTCGCTGGCTGACTGCATGAATGAAATAAGGGGCTTGAGGAGGGACCCTGAACTTTAAGATGCCTGAATTGTAGACACCAAATAGAGATCAAAGGAAACCCTGAGGCTTGGAGTGTGCTTGTAGGTGAGGGAGAGGCATGGGAGACAGAAATTTGTCTTCTCCAGTCAGCCCCTGCTCTGCCGCTATGCAAATAATACTAACTAAATAACACTAAGATTTAGTAAGAGATCTGAACAACTATGCAGACTGCCTGGGAATGGGAAACCGGGCCCTCCCCCTCGGAAGGGCGGACACGAAGCGCTATATCCCACCCTCCACCTCCCCTCCTCTTGCCCTTCATGCAGGCTCCAGGCCCACGGCTTTGTCATAAGGTGGGCGTGGGCTTCTTCGCAGGACCTCCGGCCCCCACCCCGTCACCCGCACCCCCCTCCCCCCAGTGGCTCCACGTAGACACCTCTGTCCCCTTGGCCACCCCAAGCTTTCCAGGCAATCTAATCTCTCTTCCGCCCCAAATCCCACCCAAGAGCTCCTACCTGGTTTCTGGGTGGCATATCCGCGGGCGGCCCGGAGGATGAAACCTACACAAAAAAGGGTGGGGGCTGAGGACATTCTCCTTTAACAGTCCAGCCTCGATTCTCGTCTACGGCCCTTGCGTTACCCTTCTTCCAAGGTCTTGGCCTCTCTGCGAGGACCACAGTCCCATTTCTTCCGCACCCCGAATACCCCATGTCTCTCCCACCGCGCCTTACTTGTTCCCCACCCACCACTCTTTCTCCTGCCGCTACACTCCGCCCCCCCTCCCCCCTAACCTCTTCCCGCGTACCCTCTATCTCCGCCGAACCCCATTTCCCTACTTCCGCTGTCCGGCTTCTCAGCTCCTTACCTCCAGGACGTGAGGGAAGGTCCCGCTGGACGGAGAGAAGCTTGGCGCACCCTCCGCCCGGCAGCCCGAGGACTGGGGCCTGGGTCACTGCCTGGGTCCGAATCGAACTCAGCGCCCTCCACGCCGCCCTCAGCATGGTAGCTTCTCACCCCCGAGGGGCCCGCCCCACGGCCGCCGTCGCCTTCGCGTTACGGACTTGGTTTAGGGCGCCTCCATATTGGCTCAGGCTCGACCAATCGAGTGCAGTTGCGAGACCGGATGAGCAGATGAGGACCGAGATGATGGATTGGCAGGCCGGACTCAGTGATGACGCGAAGTTGGGTCGAGGGGAGAGGTCTGGTTAGCTGTAGCGCGAGATTGAGGGAGCTTGGTCGTCGCCTGACATCGTTAGTGGCGTGCGGTGCTGTATAAACTCTTAAGATGCCACGTTTTCTTGAGCATGCCTCCCGCCCTTAATCCTACTCCATGTTCCTGACCTTGGGCCCCGATTATCTTGGGGGCTTCCCTGGGGCCTGCAGGATGGACCCCTGTAAGAACTACTAGGTTTCAGCCTCTTCTCTGGCAGTGTTGCAGCGTGGTGATTAAGGTCGCTGATTTTGGACAGCCCTGGGCTGGAAGCCCAGCTCAGCCGTTTACTGGCTGTGTGATTCTGTGTGCAAGTCGCTCAACCTTTCTGGGCCACAGTGTGCTTACTCAACCATGAAATGGGAGTGGTAATAACCGTCTCTTATCATTTAGGTTGTTAGAGGATTAACGGAGGCAGTTGTGTGCAAAGCACCCGGAATATAGTTAAGTTTTCAAGAAATACTAGCTTTGATATTTGTGAAATGAGGGGTGTAAGGACAAATACCAATTAAAAGTAGGAAAAATAAATCTTAATTTTCTCTGGTGCAAAAAGGGGAAAGACTCTTCTGCCCCTTGCTTTTCTTAGAGCATTTACTTTAGAATACCTGTAACTGTGAGTTCTTTCTCTGCCCTTTTGAGATGTATGTAAATCTTTTTAAAAGCTAAATAAGGCTCTTGCCAGTTTTACAACCCAGGAATGTGTTTTTCAAGGACCTGGGAGCCGGCTCTTTGAAATATAATCATTAAGAAAGATAGAGCCCCTGTCTCCCAGTTTGTGCTGGAGGGTAGGAGCCTAACTTCAGCAGGTGCCCAGCTCCAAGTTGCAAACCTCCCTCCTCTCATAAAGATATGAGAAATTTATTTTTCCTTTGGTTAATGGCAATTAGCAAACCCAGGTGGCTACCCCATTTCCCAGCTGAATTTAGGATGACCCCTGTGTGACAGTAGTGCTGTCAAGTCCTCTTGCTTGAGGACTAGTGATTATCTTGAGAAAATGTATGCAATGAGTTGTATCCACTTGGCTGTGTAAACAGATACAATTTCTCTTCATCTTTGCAAACTCTTGAGTTGATTGCCTGTGACATTCTGGTTTAATTCTCATCCAATTAAAAAAAAGTTTTCTTCCTCTTCTACCCTTGTGGAGAGGTTTTCTAGGTTGGCAGGAGATTTTGTTTTTAATTACATTTCTGCAACAGGGGCTACTCTTTTCTGAGGTCTGTTCCCCATGTCCCACAGTTCTCTGTGACTCCCTCGGTAACCCTGGCCACCGTGCCCTAATGGTCATTTCTCAAGTCTCCATCACTAGAATGGGAACTCTTTTTTTTTTCCTGGCCTCGCCGTGCAGCATGCGGGATCTTAGTTCCCCCACCAGGGATCGAACCTATGCCCCCTGCAGTGGAAGCGCGGTGTCCCAACCACCGGACTGTCAGGGAAGTCCCTAGAATGGGAACTCTTTGAGGATGGACTGAGCCTAGTCATTTTGGAACCCCTGCTGCCAGCACAGGGCCTAGATGCTAGGTGAGGGCTGGCTGAATGAAGGAATTAAGGAAAGGATAAATAAATGAATGATTCTAAGGAGTAACCCCCCCCCCCGCCCCGATTTCTAGGGTTCTGAAAAGAAAAAGAACAGAGATTCAGGCACACTCAAGAGTTTCTCAAAACCAAGCCAAACCAAATCAGACCATAAACCAGTTTAAGAGACTGAAATTATAGGAAACAAGTACAAAAAGCTAGTGGGCAGGGCTTGAAAAAACATTCTCTGGCCTTTGAAGTGGGAGGCCCAGCCCATGGAAATTGGGGGGTTGGGGGAGGGATGCTAGGGGCCAGAGATAGGGGGACACTGGGAGACTTTCTGCCTTTCCTGGGGCTGGGGGTTTTTTAGTGAAGGGCTTACTGACCTCCTCTTCTGTGGATAGCCCAGGCTTATCAAGAAGCAGGCCCAGGTGGGGAGTTCTAGGAAGCCCTAGAAGCCCCCGAGACCCTCCACCCCACTGACCCGGAGCCCCTGCAGGAGAGGGAAGTCAAGCAGTGGCTCAAAGATACAGTCATCCTCCGGGTTTGGGACCAGGGGGCTGGTCTGGAACCAGAGGTTCTCATAGGACTTGGGGCTGGGGGTGAGGCCCCCCAAGAGGGGCTGAGTGGAGTCGCAGCGGAGGTAGTGCCCAGGCCGTGGGCCTGTGGGGCTGCCCAGCACCTGCACGTAAAGGACCTGGTCACTGGTGCCAGACTGGGGCTGGGGCTGGATACGAGGTACTCTTGGGTCCCCCTGGAGCACATAGGCCTGGACCAGGCTGGGGAGGCCACAGGTCCCTGAGCTGTCATTGGACTCCCAGGGTCCTGGCTTCTTCTCTTCCTCCTCCAGCACCGTGATCTTGGTGATGGGTGGCATGCTGGAGTCCCGAAGGCTGGGCAGCTGGAAGGTATCCTGGACATAAGGATGTGGGGTGAGGGCCGGGTTCATTTCAGATATCTGCCCCAGACACTTCCTGCTGCTCTTTGCTGAAACTCAAAGGGTTACTCAAAGGATGCAAAGCATCTCATATGTTCCTGACACGTGTTATGTGCTGTTTAGACTTAGCCTGGTGAATCTCCCCAACGCTTCTGCATGGGATTAGTCCCATTTCACAGTGAGGTGACTGAGGGTTTGAATGGGTAGAGCAGGGATTCGCACTTAGGTCTGCTTTGCTCCAAAGAGGTGAAGTGGGAAGATGGGAAGGCCTGAATACTCATCCTCAGAGGGGTATCCCTTCACTTTGAGCCTGGGGTGGGAGCCTAACCCCCAGCCCCATTTCCCTCTCCCTCCAGTGTTCTCACCTCCGTTGTGATGGTAGGCACCCAGGAACCCAGGCTGCTGTGGGCTGGGTCTGGAACACTTGGCCAGAGGGGATTCTTCCTGCTGGAGAAGGGGGCAGGTGAAGGCTAGGTCAGGCATGCCCTCCCATCTTTCCATCCTTTCTCCCACCTACTCACAGCAGCTGAAGGGACGACCCCTTCATGGAGAGAGGAGAAGGTGGAGGGCCCGACCCCCAGACCTGGGTCCTGAGGCCTGGCAAGGCTGAGACGAGCCTAGACCGGCTCACTCAGGCCTGCACTTCCCTGCAGGCAGGGTTAGTTGGATGTCAGGCCTCTCAAAAGGACTCACCTGGGTCTGCAGCAGAGCTGGGTAGCCCCACAGAGGCAGATGAGCAAGACCAGGAGGCCGAAGAGGCCCAGGAGGATGTGCAGCTCAGACTCCTCTAGAGTGAGGGGAAAGCCAGAAGAGGCAAGAGTGCACGTAGGTAAGGCTGGGCTTCCTCCCTCAGACTGGGGTCCAAGGGCAGGGCTGGGTCTCCTCCCTCAAATCAGGGGATCCACGCAAGGCTTATCTACTTGCAAAATGGAGATCCTTTGGGTGAGGCACCCTCCCACCAGCCTTGTCCTGCCAGCCCCCTTCTCCCCTCACCTAGGGCCAAGGTCATCAGGGTGAGGCTTGTACTGTTGGTGGCCCAAGCCTGGCTGGCAGCCATGAGGTGGACATGGTACAAGCTGGAAGGCTCCAGGCCGCGGAGGACAAAGCTATGGGAGGAGGCGTTCAGGACAGTGGCTAGGAGGAGAGGAGAATGGTGAGTCTGGGTTGGCTGCTGGGCCGCCCCAAGGCTTCTGAACCCGCCCGCCCTGGCCTTCTGGGGCTGTGGGGCACTGAAGATAGACTCACAGAAGGACCGGTCCTGAGCATTGGTCCAGAAGATAGTGTAGTGGGTAAGGGGGCTCCTCCCCAGCTCAGGGGCCTCGGGCACCCACTCCAGCTGGGCCCAAGTCTTGCCAATGTGCCTTAGATGCAGCTCTGGGCCATGGGAGGGGGCTGCCGGAAGAGAGAGGTACAGGGGCTGACAGGGAGCGGGGCGGCGGGGAGAGCCCAGTTGGACTTCTTGTGGCTCCCCAGACCCAAGAACTGGGACACTTTGTGGGGGTGGGTGATAGGAGAGAGTCCAGGGGGACTCATGTCCACGCCTCATTGTCCCAGGAACTTTCCCTGAATCCCACCGACTGCTAATGAGTGGTTGAGCTGGGATTTGAACCTGCTCCTCTTTGACTCCAAAGCCTTGCTGCCTGATTTCTGCCAGGCCTGATTTTTGTCTGGTTCATTATTTCTGCCACTGACTCTCTAAGTTTATGCCAGGCCCTCAGTTGAATTTCTATCACACGTGACACCGGATCAGTTTTTGCCAGACTGGCTCCCTGAATTCTGCCGTGCTCACTGCCCAATTTCTGTTACCCCACCACCTGACTTCTTTCCAGCTGCAGGGGTCCAGTGTAAGCCAGAGGTAATCTTAGGATTGGGAGAGACCCTCTTCTGGGCCAGAGGTAGGGGAAGAAGAAAATGTTCCCTCGTATTCCTGATTTTGGGGGCCTAGACAGGCCTTGAGAGAGAGGAGAGGATTCTGAGAAAAGGCTTGGTGGCTGACAAACCCATCTCTTGGGAGTAAGCATAGATGTGCTGGGAGGGTCCTTTGGTGTCCTGGTACAGGGGGGTCACAGTGATCTCGTAGAGCTGAAAGGGCCTGATGTTCTCTGTAGAGAGAAAATAGGGGCACCCTGGTTAGGGGCTAGCCTCTGATGATGGTCAGGGGCTAACCTCAGACTTCAGGGGTAACCTGGGCCTCATTCTGCAGGGCTGGCCTCTGCAGTCTCTTCTTCAGACCATTTGGTGCGGGTAAGGGGCAAAGAGTGGAAGAGAGAGCTAGGAAGGTGGCAGAGTCAGGGCTGGAAACAGAGGATCCAGTTAGACTGCAGGAGGGACTTCCTGATTCTGAGGATGTGAGATGAGAACAGTGAAAGAACAGGAAAGACTGGGGAATCTGCGTCTTTAGGGTGGTTCAGCTCGCCCCTTGCCTACTGTCAGGCAGGTAAAATGTCCCTCCCTCTCCCGGGCCCTGCCCACCTGCCCAGCCCCCCAGGCCTGCCTCACCCTGCAGCAGGGTCCCTGCAATGCTTCCATTATGCTCCATCCGCCACATCTTAGGGCTGCCGCTGGGGCTGGGGGGACCCAGGCCCCACTCAATGACATAACCCCGAGGCTGAGGGCTGGGGGGCTCCCAGCCCACCCAGAGGCTGTGAGGGTCTCGAGCCACGGTGTGGAGTCTGCCCAGGGGTGGGCCTGGAGACAGAGTAGGAGATGATGACATGAAGATGAAAAGAATGCAGGCCCTGGAGCCAGATGCCTGGGTTCAATCTGGCCTTTGCTACTTACAAGCTGGGTGACCTTGGGTAAGTCAACATCTGAGCCTCAGTTTCCTCATCTGTAAGTGGAAACGATGATAAAAGTTTCTACCTCGTAGGGTCATGGTGCAGATTAAGTGAGGTGGTACATGAAACAGGCCTGGCACGGAGTAGTGCTCGGTGATGATGAAAGCTAACCCTGTGTGGTTCTCGGTATGTATTAATTCACGGAGTCTGCTAACAGTCCCATTGTGGGGCACAGCTACGGTCCCCATCTTAGCAATGGGAAAACCGAGACAGGGAGGTTAAGTAACTTGCCTAGGGTCACATGGCTGGGAAATGGGAATATTAGCTATTGTGAGTCTCACTTCATGAGGACCCATGTTCAGGGGCACCTGGGGTTGGTAGTGGCTGATCCCCTGAGAATGAGCATTTCACTCAGGGACTGTGTTCGAGCTGGAAAAACTTCGGGCTTTCTTTCCCATTTCCTTGGCAGAATAGACGGTGTGTGTGTAGGCACCACCACCGGCTTCACCTGGTTCTGGCTAATGATAATAATAATAGCTAACACATGTGGAGCAGTCACTTTGTGCCAGGCACATGTCTTAACTCGTAATCTTCACAGCGATGCTTTGAGTTAGATACTGTATCATTCCCATTTGCTAAATGAGTAAACTGAGGCCAGAGAGGGTAAGTAACTTGCCCAGATCACATTGCTAGCAAGTGACAGGGCTAGATTTGAACCCAGGCAGTCTAGCCTCCGAATTTACATGCGTAACCATCATGCTCTGCTAGCTGCTGGCCCCCTTTACCTCCGCTCTCCAAGAAGACCACTGGGGTGGGATGAGAGGTCCCAGCTGTGTTATAGGCCTCAAGGATCACCTCCCGGGCTTCTGAAGGCAGTTGGAAGGTACAGTTTAGCTCCGTGGTGTTGCAGAGCATTGGGTCTGCCCCAGCCTGGTCTGAGGGTCTCCAGGAGACCAGGTACCCTTGGATCTGCCCTCTGTCTTCCTCCAGGGGCACTGGCTGCAGTGGGCATAGGGGGAAAAAGATAAGGGGATGCCCAACTCATCTGGAGTGGGGGAGAGCTTGTAGATGGGGTGGCCATGTCCCAAGAACTAAGCCCCCCAGGCTGGGAGCCAGCCCTCCTCCCTCTGTGCCAGGTCCTAGGAGGGAGGGAAGGAAAAAGCAAGTCGGTGTATGCAGCAGTTTGCAGCAGGCAGCAAACTAGATGAGTCCTCCACTGTAGTCTCTCCAGAAGGGCCCTACCCAGCTTCCTGCCCAGGCACATGCAAAGTGAGTGCAAATCACCTACAAATGCATCCAAGCCTCCGAAACCTGTTGGGGTCCTGAGCCCCAGCTTGCAGGGGTCTGTTTGGGTTGAAAGAGGTGGAGGGATGGCCTTCAGAGGGGGTTACCTGCCAGAACAGCTGCACGTCCACCGTCCTGGGGTCCAGCTGCCTCTGCCGCCACCATGTGTCCATTCTGACAGTGGGGGCTGTGGGTGGAGCAGGAAGAGAGGGTCAGGGAGGGCCCTGGAGGCCAGACTGGGTCCTGATGGCCGCTCCCAGCCTGTCACCACCCACTTACCCCGTTGTGTGGTGGTCAGCTCCAGGCTGGGGCTCCAGTTGCTCCAGTGGCCAGGCAGGCGCCAGCGGGTGCAGCGCATCTGCAGGGCGTAGGCTGTGGATGGGAGGAGCCCGCATAGCTCATACTGGAGGGTCCTGGAGGGCAGGGCGCCCACCTGGTGGGGGGTGTGTGTGGCTCTGAGCCTGGATCTCTGTGCCCTTCGGTGCCAGCTCAACTTACCCTGCCCTCAGCCAGCCCCACCCCAGTCTCCTGAGGTTGCCCTCCGCCTCACCAGGTCCCAGCTGGCTTCTCCAAGCAGAGGCTGGTGGCGCAGCTCACACTTCTGATCTATGTGTAGGCTTGGCTTCCAGGTCTCCCAGCGCAACCTCAGGCAGCCTGGCTGGGGCGGGGCCACCTCAGGGCTGGGCCCCAGGGCCCACAGTGTGGGGGGCTCCAGTTTCACTGCAAAGAGAGGTGTCGTCAGACCCTTTCTCTGATCAGTCCTATCGGGCTCTATCCTAGCTTCCACTTGTCTCCCTGTCTGTGGTTCCGTTTCTTCTCTGGGTCTCCGTTTATGGGATCTCTGTGTCTTTCTGTTTCTCTCTGTGTCTCTTCATCTCTGTGTGATCCTGTTTCTGCAGGTCTGTCTCTGTATATGTGTCTGTTTCTCTCTCTGTTTCATACTCTTGCCCCAGGGCCTTTGCACTGGTTGTTCTCTCTGCCTGGAGCACTTACCTCCTGGATATCCAGTGGCTTGCTCCCTCATTTCCTCCAAGGATCTTCTCAAATGTCACCTTCTCAGTGAGGCCTTCCCTGACCACCTTCCTGAAATAGTAATAGCCCCCTCTCCCCGTCGGGTCCCCCTGCTCAATTTCCTCAACATGCTTGCCGTTACCCGACATTCTATTTTGTTTATTTTGCCCACTAGAATGTAACATTTCAGGGGCAAGATTTTTGCCTTTTTGTTTACTGCCATATCCCCAGCACCTAGAACAGCGCCTAGCGCAGAGTGGGCACTTCAAGAAATTTGCAGAAAGAATTAATGAGTGTATCTCTTTGCCTCTGTGTTTCTTCCGCGTCCTTGTCTGGGTCTCCACAGCTCTGTCTATGACTGCATCCACTTTGTTTTTCTCTCTCCTCCTCCTCTACCTCTAGATCTTGCAGCGTCTCATTGCCTGTCGCTGGGTCTGTGTTTCCCTCCCCGTGCCTCTCTATGTCCGCCCATGGTGGGGGCCGCTCCCCTCCCCCACACTCAGTGTCACCCACCGACGTCCATGGGGACAAGGCACAGCTTCGGGGACATGCTGGTTCCCAGCGCGTTCTTGGCCTGCACCCAGATGCCCATGTTCTGGTACAGCTGTAGGTGTTTGCGGGGGATGGAGCAGTGGCTCTGCCCGTCCTCAGGCACGCAGTCGGGGATGGAGTCCTCCCGGCTCTGACAGTTGCCCCGGCTCCTGCCAACGGGCCAGGCTTGGGTGTCAGGCGGGGGAAGAAAGCGAGGCTCCCTTCTCCCTCCCGTCTTTGGCTCTCTCTCCCCACCCCTACAGTCCTACCCATGCTCTGTCCCAGGACCCAAAGGAATGGGGGCTGGCGTAGAGAGCCCTACTCACTTGAAGCTCTTCAGGGTGAAGTTGGTGGACAGGTGGGTGTTAGGGCCTGGCTGCCACTGGCAGGTGAGGCTGTTGGTTGTGAGGTTCATGAGGCAGGACAGGTTGTGGGGTGTGGCGGGAGGGTCTGTGTATGGGGTGGGGAGAGTGAGGGCTTCAGGTAAGACCACTCAGAAAACTCCTACTGGGACCACTTGGCCTCGTTTCCTTGCCCTGGGTCATTCCCTTGTCTCCATGCAGGGTGACCCCAGAGGGGCAGCCCTGGGGGAAGCTAAGTTACAGGCACATACAGGGATAAGTACCACAGAGTCTCCAACCCTCTCAACTCTGTCCCCTTTGACAGTAACAGTGTAGCATCTGGTTTTCATCCTGGTTCTGCCATTCATTAGCTGTGTGATCTTGAAGTCACCTAACGGCTCTGTGCCTCAGTCTCCTCATCTGGAAAATGGGGGTAATGGTAATGTACCTACCCCCTAGGGTTCTTGTGAGGGCTGAGTGACTTACTATGTATGCAGTGCTCGGAGCTGTGCCTGGCGTATAGTGAGTGCTCTGTGGTGTTAGCTTTCACTGTTGTTGATTCTTAAATGAGAACCTTGGTCTTTCTTTGTTTTTAGTTATGCATTGGCTTGGCCCAAATCCATCCTTCTCAGTTTGAACAGAAGGCTGAGACTGGGGTAGGGGAGAAGCTGGGAGCAAGCCCAGCTCATAGAGAACATCCTCCCTGGAGACACTCTCCTATGGCTGAGGGCTTGGGCTTACTCGGCAGCCATATGGAGTAGTGGTTACTATACTGGCTTTCGAGCCACACTGCCTGTTATAAATCTTGGCTCCATCCTTATTAGTTTGTGACCTTTAGCATGTCACTTACCCTCCCCAAGCCTCGGTTTCCCCATCTGCAAAATGGGGCTAAATAACACTACCCACTGGTAGGGAAGATGACATGATATTGTGCCTTTAAAGTGCTTCTTGAGCAAGAGCTTAAGAAAGAATAGTTGGCAGGAGGGCATTGGAGGCAGAGTGGGTGGATGGCTGCAGGGACTCACAGCCTGCCTGTAGCTCAGCCTGGTCCAGGATCTGCAGGCTGTTGCCCCAGTGCAGGCAGCAGGAGAGAAGGGCCCGAGAGCGGTTGAGGTGGGGCAAGGTGATGGTGGACTGCAGGGTCCCATTCGGCAGGTACTGCTGCCTCTCCCCGGGCTGAAGCTCTGCTTCCAACTTCCATACAATGTGCGATTCCGAGTCCAGGCGGCTGCAGTTCTGGCTGATGGTGCAGGAGGCTGTGATGGGATCCCCCAGGCGGACGATGGGGGCTGAGAGGCTGATGTGCCCGCACTGCTCCAGGCCTGGGGTGGAAGAGAAGGGGCCGTAAGTGACTCCTCTGCCTGGCAGAGCTGGGCTCCTAGACTCAGTACCCCTAGACTCTGTGCCATTACCTTCATGCTTTACCTCCCAAGACGTGTCACTGGAATGGGGAGGATGTGTATGGGGACCGTGAGAGGCTCTGGGGGTGAGATCAAGATAGCGGTGTGTGGGTAAATGTTTATCAGCTGGCTATACAGAGAGAAACAGATCCTGGTTTGTAGGCTGGGCTGCTTTCCCTGGTGTAAATATTCCCACCGTGGCTGATTGCAAGCTACCAGTGTGACATCACTGAATGTGAACCCGGGAAGAGATGTACACAGTCAGCGCTTGCAAGCCAACCCCAGCACGCCACCAGATGGGAGATTACTCCCCTCCCCAGCAGTGGTGAAACAATGGTTAGAATGATAAGAACCCCACAGCCACAGCAATCTTTTCAGATTTCAAATCTGTTACCGCATCTTGATTATAACACTTCAACGGTACGTTATTCCTCTGAAAGGCAGTATGGTATGTGGGTAAGAGCATGGATGTTGGAACTAGACTGCCTAGGTTTAGAGCCTGGTTCTATTGCTTATTAATTATGTGACCTTGATGTGTCACTGGGACTTTCTGTGCCTCAGTTTTCTCATCTGTAAAATGGGGATTAAAAAGTCCCTACCTTAGTTTTGCTGGAAGGATTAGATGTGAGAACACGTGTAAGGCACTTAGAACAGTGCCTGTCATGTAAATATTTGCTGCCATGATTAGGATAAAGACTCAGATCCTTCTCACAGCCCTTGTGGCCTGGCCCCTGCCTAGCCCTCCTTGTTCCAGCTCAGACCATCCTTTTCCAGCTCCCATCACTCTGGCCTTCTTGCTATTTCTTGAAAGCGCCATGCTCCCTCCAATCTCCGGATCTTTGTACCTGCTGATCCTTTTGGAGGTGCTCCTTTGCTTCTCTCCCACCCCTCCTTCACCTGGTTAACATTTAGGCGTCTTGCGGGGAACCAGACCAGGTTCTGACCAACCAGACCAGGCCAAGCCCCTTGAACTTTCCCAAAGCTCTTATTGTCCTTCATAATTATGTAGTCATGTGATTATTTGCTTGTTTGTCCCCCAAACTAGACCATGGGTTTTGTGAGGCCAGAGACCTTGGCTGTTTCACTCATTGCTGCATTCCCAGCACCTAGCACAGAGCAGGCCCTTGGTGGATACGTGTGGCATAAATGAGTAAGCACTGCACTTTGCCCACGATGCCTTCTCTCCTCTCCCAGGTGTTCTTCAGCCCATTTTGCTGATGGGGATGCTGAGCCCTTAAGAGGAGGAGCAATTTGTTTAGGGTCACAGAGCAAGTTCATGGAGGCTTCTACTACTCCACAGACTCAGAATTTCAGACTAGAAGGAAACTTGCCAACTGTTTACTTCAAAACTCCACCTGATACTGAGTCCTCCACAGCAGGGCTAGGATGGCCTAGTTTTGTATGGCCTGCCAGCTAAGAACATTTTTTATATGTCTAAAGGGTTGAAAACCAAACCAAACAAAAACCAAACAAGAACATGCAACAGAGACTGTATGTGGCCTGCAAAGCTGAACATTACATCAAAGTTTGCCGACCCCTGCTGTGCCTTGGCTTGCATACCCCCAGAGATGGGAGACTCTCCACCTATCAAGATAGAGTTTCCATAGTGTGGAGAGCTCTGCCTGGGATTCTTTTTATTTTATTTTATTTATTTATTTTTTGGCCGTGCCATGTGGCATGCGGGATCTTAGTTTCATGAGGAGGGATCAAACCCATGCCCCCTGCAGTGGAAGCATAGAGTCCTAACCACTGGACTGGCAGGGAATTCCCTGGGATTCTATATTTCAGGATTAAAGCTGCCTCCTACGTCTTCCACCCTGATCCCTTTGCTGCCCGTGAAGGCTGCACAGGACTCAGGGGTTCCTTCTGACAACACGGCACAGATTTGCAGGCAAGACCTGGGTCTACCCCACCTTCTCCGGGCTGGCCAGCCCAGGTCCTCTCACTTTTCCTTAGAGGTGGTGGTTTGCCTACAGAGGTCTATGCATGGGAGCCTGGCTACCCCACATCTGTGGCCCAGTTGATTCTTTTGGGATTCTCTGGGAGTCCCAGGAGCACTGTGGCAGTGCTGGGAAATGCCTCCCTCCTCCACCCCCAGCATCTCTCCCTGTGCTCCCCCCTCCCCTCGGCACCCTCGCTCCTGGCCACACTCACTTCTGGGGAGCAGCAGGATGATCAGAGCAGCTCTCGCTAGGTTCCAGGCTCCCAGCCCCGCCATAGTGCCGGCTTGGTGCTCACCTGGAGGCAGAGGGGGATGGTTAAAGTCATGGGCTTCGGAGTCAGAGCTGAGCTTAGTCCTTGCTCTGCCACAGTGTGGCTTCGGCCAGGTTACTTGATCTCTCCGAGCCTAGTTTCATTGCAAAATTGAGGTAACAACAGCCTATACTGCATAGGGTTTTGGGAGGAGGACCCAAAATGATACAAGTCAAGGGCTTCACGCAGGGCCTGGCACATAGGAGACGACTCTGTAAGTGACAGCCGCTGTTATTATTCTATTTGCCTTCCAGGAGAGAGCAGGGAAAGGAGCCGCAGGGAACAGTATTCTTCTCCACTTCCGTTCTGTCTTAGCTGGGTTTCCCCCACAAAGCAGAGGCTGAGATGAAGGCTTGCAATGCAGGGAGTTTCTTTTGGGAAGGTTCCAGGAACAGAGTGAGGGAGTGGGGAGAATGAAATGGGTAAGGAGGGAAAGCCAACACAAGGGTTCGTCATCAAGCCAGTCACATTTATGGACAACTGGGGCTCAGTCCTGCTGGAACCTTCCAAGGAGCCATGTAGAACACGCCTCAAGAACTGTCCACCCAAGGGACAATTCATCCCTTGGCTGGCTGAGAGAATGGGAACATTTATTCACCAGTTCCTGCCCCCCGTTGGTCAAGGGCTGTCCCTTGGTGTATTAATTCTCTGGCATGTCCATGTTGCACATGCATGAGTACCAGGCAGGTTCTCCTGGTGAGCCATGCTCAAAGTCCTTTCCTCTGACGCTGGTGAATATCAGAGACGCTCCCTGGCAGAAAGGGACAACTCCACAGAGTAGCTGAGGACAGGCTACACCTTGGGAAGCTGGCTGCCGCAGAGATGGCTAAAGGGAAGGTGGGCTGGAGGATACCCCCAATTCTGGGCACAGACCTCTGGAGGCCTTCTGGGGCCAGGCATCCTGTGGTCATGGCGACAGTGCCCAGATGGAGGGAGCATTAGTTCCCTCTAATTAGTTCATTAGTCTCAGGAAGTATGCATGGGTTTCTACCGCTGGGGTGGGCTTCCAGCCTTTCCACTCTGCTCCCACTGGGGTCTTGGGGCCAGACACCTGATCCTCCAGCACTAATTGACGCTCTTGGCGGCAGGTCAGTGGGAATCACCAGCCTGTACATATATGAACACATACATGTATGTGTGTACATCAGCACAGCTGATCCCTTGTGCTCAGAAAGAATTAAACTCCTCTCCCTTTTCTCTCCTTCCAAGACAGAGGTGGGAATAAGAAATGCCCAGATACCCAAGGCTATTCCTGCCTGCCTGGGCCTTACTTAAACCCCTGGTCTGTCCTTATTTGTTGCAGTATCAGGACACCAGGTGAATGCTAGCCCATAAGTCACCTTTTTGCAAATCAAGAAAAAAGCGCCCCTTCCTCTGGACGAATGCAGCCCCACACTAGGACCTGGCAACTAGGGAACAGGCTGAATTTCAACCTCCGCTTGCTGGGCAGCTTTGTGCAGTGAGAAACCTGCACAACTGTTCAGAGCACCCCAGTCTACCAATCAGTGGTTGGCAACTTTCTTCTTACAGCATGCCAGCATGATTATCCACCATGCACACTTGTTGGGGAAGATTTAGCCTCCTTGGCCCAGATTTTGGGACACTGGTGCCCATCTCCATGTATTTTTGATCATATCCCAGCCCTCCTGCCCAGCGAATTACCACTTCATCCCTCTCCATTGGCTCCTGTCCAGAGTGGGCAATGCAACCTCAAACCCCCAGGGGCCCAGGCATCCTCTCCCAGGGTTGCCAAGGGTTGGCACGTTTGGCATCGGTCCCTGGTCCCCCACGGCAGCCCTGGGTGCTCCCTACCCCAGCTGAGCGGGATCTGGGGCCAGGTAGAGCATGGTCTCACTCTCTGGGGGCCCAGCACTGAGTCAGACCACCTGGTCTGAACCCCGGCTCTGCCACTTACCAGCTTGGTGACCTTGGACAAGTTACTTCACTTTTCTGAGCCTCAGTTACCCCATCTGTGAAAGAGGGATAACAATAGCACTCACTTCTCAGGGTTGTGGTGAGGATGAAATGAGATGGTCCCTGATAAAAGCACTTAATATGGAGCCTGCATAGAGGAAGCACTTAATAACCATGTTATTTTCACATGCCATAAAGCGGGACACCGCCTTGTGGAATCAGCATGGTTTAGTGCCTCCCTGCCCTGCTTACAGGCTGCGTGGTCACAGCCTCCTAGGACTGCCACCTTGCTTTTGTCCGTGTCACACTGCACATTCCAAAGCCCCATTTCTGAGTCCCCTGCTCCTTGGCCCCCCAGTCTCCCCTCTTGCTCCAGCCATCTCGGCTCACTCTCTGGCCTCTCTCTGAGTCCCAGCACACCACGCTGGCCCCTGGGGTCACTGCATCACCCCCCACTCCTTTCTGCTTTCCTCTCCTTTCCCTCCCATCACATTCAACCTTCTCCAGTTCACACCCCTCTCTCGCCTGTCCTTTCTACTCCCCTTCACGTGGATTCTTTCCATGGGAAGAGGGTTGGGGGGAGGAGGAGGCTGGCAATGAACAAAGGGAGAGGACTTCCCAGATGTGGTTCAGATAGAGGGAGACGGGCGGAAAAAGTAGGAAAGTGAGATACACAGACCAAAACGTTGGAGAGAGACTCACAGAGATAAAGACTGAGGCAGGAGAGAGAAAAGAGCCGGAGACAAGAATGCTGATACACAGAGACGGAGGCACTCAGAGGCCGAGAAGCAAGAGATACTCGAGATTTTAAGATTCAAGAGACAAAGGGAACCGTGAGAGACAAAAAGAGAAGCACAGAGAGACTCTGAGACAGACAGAAGCTCAGAGGCATGGCAAGCCAGAGAGGGGCTGAGGAGGAAAGAGAGGTGGAGAGTGAAATAGACAGACAGGGATGGAGACACAGAGCAGGTAAGACACAGGTTCTGAGAGAGAGACGGGGAGAGGGACAATGAGTATGCCCTTCGCTGAGTCCAGCCCTTTCCTGAGCCCAGAACAGTGTCCTCAAAGAGATATTTGTCTGTGACTTCCCCAATGCAAAGAAAAGTAGGGGCACCCTGGGAAAAGTAACTCAGTGTCCAGGGCTCTTGATACCAAGGGACAAATCCTAAAGGCAGGAGCTCTGCTCCCAGGCCCCCTGCATACGCACGCCCTTGACAGAGCTGGGGGAGCATAACTGGGACTCCAGGGTCCCCTCGAGCCCAAGGCCCAGCCCTCCCTGGGGCTCCCCTACTCACGTTGGAGCCTGCGGCTGGGCGCCCGCCTGGCCTCCCTGGTCTCTGCTCTCCTCTTCAAGGCAAGTTCCTGAAAACAGCCACAGCCCGGCTGCTCTCCCCAGCCCTGTCGTTAATGGCTCGGCCTCTGACAGGCGCAGGGGCTGCGGATTGCAACACCTGCCCAGCCTCCTTCCCGCCCTTGCATTGTTGAAGCTGGCATGGGCAGCCCCTTCCTCCCAGGAAGGAGCCTAGGAGGGAAGCTGGTGGGGCCCGGGCAGCCTTCCTGCCTCGGGGGTCTTAAAGGGGCAGAGGGATGTGGCAACGTTGTCCCCCCCCTCTGCCTCCGGATTTCCTGACCTCAAAGCTCTGAGGCTGGCAGGGCCCAGGCTCCAACCCGCTTGGGTGCCGTTCCCATGCCCCCGCACCCCCCTGCCCTGGGGAAGCATCACTTGGAGACAGACCCTGGCTCGAAGGCTCGCTTGGCCCTAAGCCTCTTTTTAGCACTAGCCTTGGGGCCCTGATCCTCCCAATATTCAGAGGGGCGTCCTCCAGGTTACAGGGAATTCTGTAACACAGTACCTTCCTCCCCACTCCCTCTGCATGGCATGTTCCTTACTGTTGCCCAAAGGCCACACAGACAGAGGAATGCGGACTCTGGGGACAAGGCAGGGGATTGCCTGTGAGGCTCTGGTCTTCACAGCTCACTAGAGATTAGTAACGTTAACTCACAGTGATTCTGCCAAACTGAATATTTTTTCATTGAGTGAAACAGACTACATTTTATGTCTTTCACAATTCCTCTGCAATTGTTTACAAATAATTTTCTGTGCATTTTCCTAAAGAGGGTTCAGACTGTTCACAGTTTATTGGGTTTATGATGCAATAAAGATTAGGTACCAACAGACTAGCAGAGTGTCTGTAACATATGATCCTTTTTAGAAAAAGTGGGTTTCTGAGTCTGTTGTGATGGGGCAGACCTGGGCTCCACTTCTCGTTCCAGTACGAAATATCCAACTGTCTGTAGCAACCTCCCAGAGGTGTCCCAGAAGGCTCACATGCTCAACAAATCCCATTGACTCTTCTTTCAAAATATAACTAGAATCCTGGGTAGATAGGTATTCACTGTAAAGTTCAACTTGGCCATATGTGTGGATATTTTCCTGATGAAAAATTGGAAAATATAAATACCACTTAAACCAGTACCAGCCAGCTCTAAGCCATCCTTTCTCTTACCTGATTCGTTGCAGTGGCCCCCTCCCTGGTCTCCCACTTCCATTCATCCTCATCCCCCCGACCTGTCTGTTGTTCCTTCAGCAGCCAGTGTGGTACTGATCAAACAGAAGTCAATTCATGTCATCCTCTGCCCCAAACTCCCAAGGGCTCTCATCTCACTCAAAGTCAAAGCCCTTTCAATGACCTACAAAGCCCTACCCGGGGCCCGTTCCCTCCCTGGCCCCTCTCCTGTGATTATTCTCCCCCTTGCTGCTCTGCTCTAGCCACTCTGTTGTCCTTGTTATTTCTTGGACTTGTTAGGCTCCCTCCTGCCTCTGGGCCTTTGCACTTGCTGTTTCTTCTGCCCGGACTTTTTTCCCCCAAATCACTCTATGGGTCACTCCCTCCCCTTCTTTGGGTTTTTTGCTCAAGTGTCACTTTCTCATTGAGGCCTTCTCTGACCACCCTTTAAAAAAATTGCAACCACCCCTCACTCTCTAGCTCTCTTTCCCCCCTAATATTACCCTTTTCACCATCTGACACAGGCTGCCTCCAGCCCCACCTCCCACTAGAATGGAAGCTCCATGAGGGCAAGTGTTTTAGTCTGTTTTGTTTAGAACTTTATCTCCAGGGACTTCCCTGGTGGCGCAGTGGTTAAGAATTCGCCTGCCAATGCAGGGGACACGGGTTCAAGCCCTGGTCCAGGAAGATCCCACATGCCACGGAGCAACTAAGCCCATGCGCCACAACTACTGAGCCTGTGTGCCTAAAACCCATGCTCCACAACAAGAGAAGCCACTGCAATGGGAAGCCCGCACACAGCAATGAAGAGTAGCTCCCGCTCACCGCAACTAGAGAAAGCCCACGCGCAGCAACGAAGACCCAGTGCAGCCAATAAATAAATAAATAAATTAAAAACCAAAAACAAAACCAACTTTATCTCCAGGGTCTTCAACACTGTCACATAGGGAGCCCTCAATACATAATATTCGTTGAGTGAACAATTGAATGGATGCATCTTCCCTCCATGTCACCAAACCTGTCCCCAATCTCTGCAAACCTCATCTTTTTTTTTTTTTTTTTGAGGTACGCGGGCTTTCACTGTTGTGGCCTCTCCCGTTGCGGAGCACAGGCTCCGGACGCGCAGGCTCAGTGGCCATGGCTCACGGGCCTAGCTGATCCGCGGCATGTGGGATCCTCCCAGACCGGGACACGAACCCGCGTCCCCTGCATCAGCAGGCGGACTCTCAACCACTGCGCCACGAGGGAAGCCCTGCAAACCTCATCTTGGTAAATTATATCACCCCCAAGTCCCCCAACCCAGGGACCCAGGAGTCATTCTTCACGCCCCTCCCCCCCACTGTCACATCCAGTCAGTTCCTGATGAAGGAGAATGGGCCTTTTGTTCATCATTCAGAAAACTCGTTCCTCAAGTAGGTGGCAGGGGCATGATGGTGAGCAAAAGCAGCCCTAGCTTCTGCCTTGATGGAGCTCAGGCTTATCAAGAGCTCAGAAATTCATCTCATCTCTGGGTCACGTGTCCCCAGCCCTCACCTGGACACATTGCTGCCTCCCTCCGGGGCTGAGCCCCCGTCACCTCCAGCTGGCCAAGTTCTGGCTCTGCTGCTGCTTGGGCACCTTGCCTGCCCTGAGCATCTCTCCGGGCTGGGTCGGGTGCCTTCCCTCCTTGGTGACGCTGTAATGCTGCAGCGGCTGTTGGCTGTCTGCTTCCTTCATTAGACTGTGCACACCTTGAGGGCAGAAACCACGTTCTCTTCTCTGCCTGCAGCCTCAGCACAGGGCACCCAGAATTCTCAGTGCAGATCTATTGGACTGCAGACTTTGGAGAAGCTGTTTACCCTCTCCAAGCCTCAGTTTCCTTATCTGCCACAGGGGTAATAACTCCTTCCAGGGGTTTTGTGAGGATTAAATGAGCTATGGGAGGTACGGAGCCTAGCATGGTAACAAGCACGTGGTAGGTGTTCAAGAAAATTCCTTACTTTCTTTCTGCTCTGCAGAGTTCAGTATGTCAGAGCAAGGCTCTACTGTTGCTCCATTCTCCACTGAGGACCTGCACCAGGCAATGGAGCTGCCACAGCTGAAATGAAAATTAGATTTAAGGAGAAACTTTCCTTAGGTAAGAAGCATTAGCAGATAGAGAGGCTAAGAGCAGAGGGTGAGGAGTAGACTGCTTCGACTTCCCACTTAATGCCGTGTGGCCCTGGGCAAGTTGTTTGACCTCTCTGAGCCTCCGTTTCATCATCTTTAAAATGGGGATAATGTTAGTATTTACTTCAGGGGATCCTTGAGAGAAATCAGTGAACTAATGCGTGTGAGGCTCATGGGCCAGAGCCAGGCTCACAGTAAATGCTCAATAAATGTTTACTCTGGTGAGCTGGAAAGCACGAGACAGCTGTGAAGTCAAGCCCTCCCTCTCACCTAGTGTCTGCTTTGTGGATACTTCCTCCTCCAGCTCTCCTGCCCCGCCCCCTCCTCCCTCAGACTGGGTGGCCTCTGGGGGCTGGAAACCCCAGTCAGGGAGTTCTGCAGTGGTGGGGAACCCCATGCTCGGCA